AAGCAACAACTGATGACACTACAATGGAAATAGGAAGAATTACATTATGAACTTCAGTTATTATAAATATCTTGTAACAACGTATACACTATATAATATCTTATTTGCACAAATGTTTAAATTATATTATCATATAACAATAAATAAATATATTTTATACACACTGGGGTAGAGTAAAAAGGATTTACCTTATAATCTCATCTCAGTGTGCATGCAGTATTTTAACTCAAATTAAAAGTCGTTACTTTTTTTTTTTTTCGCCTAATATAATGTTCTCACCTACTATAAGCTACCACTGTGAAAGACTAAAAGAGCTTTATAATCCGTTTAAAGGCAAGTTCGATAATCAAGTCGATCAAAGACTATATTGAGTTACCAGAAAGCTGTACAACAGCTCAACAGTTGTCTAGTTATATATATATTATATCTTATTAGTACAAGCCGCTACTGTTATCGATGCTTAGGCGCACACGTGTGTTAAGTATTATCTTATAATTATTTAGTTATTAACTCATAAATAATTAATTAACCAGCATAAAAACTCAAGTAAATACAACATTTCACAATGAAATCATGTATTATTTTATTTGTTTGTCGTAATCATCGATATACAAATAAAATTCAGCCAAATTCGGATCGCATAAATTAAATGGTTTAATATAATATAATAAGCATAATATTATAGAGTCTGAAATTAATTTACGCTTAAGTATTACATTTGTAATATTAAGACATAACTATTGAAATATAAATATTTTTACAATATTATTTCCTACTAAAATATTATAATAATTGATATTGATATATTAGATAATTGTATATTGTATTGCCCCACACAACACACTGGATTCACAATCGATCAAATTTTCAGACCTTATTTTGTTATCAAATGTATACCTATGTCTATAACTGTTTCATAACAAGCCTACCAATAAGATCTAGAACAAGGCTTTGTTTTATAAGGGATTTCTTATCAGTGCAATGTGTCCATCTTCGTGAAAATATAAGATAATTTATTTTAAAAAGGAGAATAACATCGAAATTTTAATGTGATATTCCTTACATTTCGGAAGACGGGTTAACATTTGTATATTAAATTTAATTGCAACAGCAATTTTTATTACCCCAGAAGAGTTTATATCGTTTTTTAGATGTTGTTTTATAGATTTAACTCTGAAAATTAGACTGTTAGTCATTGGACTAGGCTTGATGACAAAGAGTTCAAAAATCTAAACGTCGTTTTTTACAAATTTTTCACTATCACAATTTTTAAACCTAGGCTTTCGGTAAACGATTTCAGTCAGTGCATATTAGGAAAAAAACAGTCAAGAAGTTCAAATTGTTCCAGATATTAAAAAATAATAATAATACAAATACTAACACCAATAATAACAAAACCCCTATATCTTTTAAATTAAAAAGATGTTTTAGTTATTTTTCATAGGAAACATATTATAGCGAGTATAAGGCCTACAATTATTAAGTGGTTTTTGAGTATGGATCATTGTAAAGTATTTAAGGTAAATAAGACACACAGATATTACTTAATAGCTGTAAATAATTTTAAAGTTGTGCTTCGATCAAAACCTTGTTAAATATGTAATGCATTTATTAATTTTTCATAAAAATTAATAATTAAATATCAAAATAAATCCTTCTTTAATCGGTTAATATTTACAAATTTTACCGTATATCCAGTTTTGATGACAAATTGCCTATACAATGCGCTTCAACAATGTCCGTTTTGAAAATAATTTTTAATTGCTCAAGTCAAAAATAAAACGTCCCACGATAAGATAATAATCGAAATCGTTTTCTAAAACTTTCTAGACTTAAAGTTATATAATTAGATGGATTTCAAAGAAGTCGTTTTTTTGGACATATTTGTGATTTAGTGCATTGGTGTATGACTAACGGGTTACTGATTGAACAAACATACAAAACATCATTTCAATATATTATTATATATTTTTATTATAATTTCAATAAAACACACAAAATCTTTTCAATACTTTTTCGTAAAAAAGTAAATATACAATTATTCAGAAATGTAATAACAATAATACAACTTTGTAATATTTTCAATAGGTTTGAAATAAATATAAAAAATTAAACAGTAAGATTATTCATGACCGGATGTGGAAATGTGTCCGAGACCAATTGCAGCAATATATATATGAAAAAAAAAATAAAACTATAATATTATATTTTATAATAACTATTATCTATTTAGTTTACACAATTTTTCATAAAAATTGGTATCGACTATTGTGGAGAGTTAAATTGAAAAATTTTAATAAAACTAAATATTTCTGTTTAATACTTATTGAGAAAATTCAAGTTCTAGGCAGAGGTTTTGTTATATCAGGGGTTTTTAATCAGTGTCCATCAAAATCACTTAAAAACAATTTTTCGGTGCGAATCTGAGGGTAGATAGAATCCAGCGGAGTACTTACTATTGATTATTATGCCGGCTTGGCCAAGGATAAGCTGCTGAAACATAAAAAAAAGTAACTCAAATACTTGTTTCTCCGTTTTATTTATATTTTTTAAGTACATATAACAGCATTGTAATTGTTAATTATTGATTAAAAGTGTTTAGCCGTGTTTAGTGTTTACTACGAACTATAGTAATTATTTTACAACTAGAAGTTTTTTGCATTCAATTAATTCGGATACACTAATAATATTTCCGTCATACTTTCCGTATTTAATATATACTTTTATGTAATGTAAAGTTATTCAATATAATAATTTACATGAACTTACCGGGAGTAACGGTAGATGATAAAGGTTGTGTAAATGTAACTGAAACATCGAAAAATTCAATTACTTGTTTTTTTGTTTTATTTGTATTTTTCAAGTGCCCATTTATTAGTCAATAGGACAACTGGTATTTTTTATATTAAATTTATTCGGAGGCACTAACATTATACGTCATACATTTATTTTATAAATAGGTACTTTTATCTAACCTTCAGTTAGTTCATAACTCATTTTCTCATTTGTCATATTTTTAAAATTCTCTCTTTCTTAATGTAAAATGTATCAATAAATAAATATTCATAGACTTACAACTACCAGTAGCTGTTGGTACTGAAGGATTATTTATTGTTCCACCTGAAACATAGAAAAACCATATTTCAAATGCTTGTTTTTATATTCTTCTATCTTTTGTTAGTACATACATTGGCGTAATTTATTTTAATTGATGATGCAAATCGTTTCACTTTGTTAAGTTAAACGATAACCACAAATTAGTTTTTGAATATTTTTACAACAAGACAAATGATATCATAATATGCTAATGAACAAAGTTATTATTTTTTTCAACAATGTTAGGCATTTATAGTATTTTATACAAATTTCAAGCCATCAATAGCGTATTTGATAATATTAAAAAAAAATCCCTGAAACTGTAAATAATAAACGGAGAAAATATATTCACGATTTCAGAGAATCATATTGTGCCCTCAAGAACACTAAGAATTTTTATTTGTTTTTTCTTTATATTTAAGACATTGGAATCCGACCACCAAATAAAAATAGTAAAATGTAGTAAATAACTTACCAGACTGTGAAGGTGACTGGGTATTAGGTTGACCTAAAAATAAATAATTATAATATATTATATTGATGAATATAAAACTATTGTAATAAAGCATTTGAACTTTTTTTTTTTAATTTCATAGTTTTATTTCATTTATAATTTTAACTTATATTATTACTTCTTACAATATTTTTTTTTGTACATATTTTAATCTTTTGTAGATTTTATGTTCGATACTTCGTCAATGTAATTAGATAGAAGTTATACAAAAAAAATATTTTTGTTTTTATTGGTTATTTATTTTCGTATGAGTAGTTTGATTTATTTATTTACTTATTAGCAGTACCTATCTAATATAAGTTTACACTTGAGTCCGTAAATGTATAAGAAACATTATTACAAACATTATATTTATATTTTCCTAACATTTATGACATAAGAATCTGATCAACAAAAAAAATAGTACAATTTAGTTTAAAACTTACTAGGTTCAATGTAATCTGAAACATGAAAATGAGTATGTTCAATATAAATAAATAATATAAAACTATTGTAATAAAGCATTTAGTTTGTTTTTTTTATTTCTTAATTTCTTATTATTATTAATTTTTTTACAAAATTTGTTTTCTGCCCATTCTAAATAACGCCAATGGTTTCTATAGTAACGGCTGATAACCGTTCGCATTATGTACATTGAGAGTCTAGTTTTTTGGCATTTTCGGTACTTTAGATGTGGGATCAAACATATTTTTTACGCATACTAAACCTATGCACATTATCCTTCTTTTTTTACAAGCGGGTAAAAATTGTTTGGTTAGGTTAGGTAAGAAAACAACGCCCCTTTATAAGTATAAAGGTTTTCATGAAAATAACTATATTGACTTACCTCCTCCTCTGGGTAGTTCTTTATCTTGCTCTGAAACATCGAAAAAATAACCTTGTCTAAATACTTATTTAATCCATTGGATAACTTTTCTAATTACTACTTATTAAGTTGTATCTAAAAAAGTTGTATTAAGGTTATACCAAATACTGATTTTCTTTAACTCACTAACACGTACGTACGTATGTTTGTACAGACATTTTATAAATCTTCCAAAATGAATTTATTATTCTATTCATAATTATTAAGTTAAATTATGTATCAGATAAAATTTCAGATAATGATTTTATATTAGTGTGTGACACATACATTCCACAATACTTAACTCGATGAATTTAGACTTTGTTAAATAGGGCCTACACTTTTCTTTTTAGTCAAATTCTTCTATTAGTTTTTTTAAATTTAATTTGAACATTGTTCCATAATAAACAAATTAAATAATTTTACAAGGCTATCATATATATATATATATATAATACATTTTTTTTTATATTTAATTTATTGGAACCAATCAACGAATACAAATAGTACAACTTAATTTAAAACTTACCTCCATTAACGCCTGAAACATGAAAAGTAAAACTATTGTAATATCGCTCTTAGAAAATATTACCTACACTTTTTCTAAAAAACGACCTAATTCGTTTTTATTATATTATACTATTCATTTTTATACTCAATGTTTGTATGTACCTGTAGATGTTGACAGCACAACCAAAACCACTGCTGATAAAAACAAAAAGCTGCCTTTGAAATGCATATTTAAGATATAAATGTATAACACCAAAGAAGCAAATTAATCTCAATGCTAGGTTACCGGTGAATTTGCTAACGTTTTATACCCAAAATGGTTATAATTAGTATTACAATGTAAACAGGTTAAAAAAAATATTATGAGGAAATGACATACAAAACACGACGGTTGTTGTTTGTTTTTATCTTTTAAAGCGTATTTGATGTTAGTGATTTATGATGTTCTTCCTGAAATGTTGAAGTATTATTTGACCAATATAGTTTAATATTACAAATATTAGCATAACGTTTCCGTGTATTATTATATTCTTCATGTTTTTAAGCTATCTCTTCCGTCGTCGCCAAACGGTTTGAACAGATAACCTACATAATATTATGTCAATAATAAAATCTTAACTGATGACAGTGTCAATATCACGTTTAATTCCGTGCACTGAACTTTCGTTGTATGAAATGCGTCTACACATAATAAACAGCAATGTTTATTATAATAATAATTTTTTTAAATTAAATTGGCATCTTTTTTATCTTAGTTTCGTGAAAAAAGGTCGGGTAAACGTTTGGCCAATTAGCCAAACAGATACTTTACATAAGTATTACTTATTTGGTATAAACCTATAGGTCTATAGCCTCAAATCTTAATTATATCCATTTATCACCCTCACAGTGGTTGGAGTTTGATTATTTTTTGCGATTTTAGTAGGATATTTTGTAGAGGAGAAAAATAGTATTGTTTTAATCGTCAATATACTGTTTTTGTAAATTTTAACTTATACACCCAATTACTTCTCAAGCAACGTTAATATTTTTATGAACACCTATTTAGAGCGGTCTTAATAAGTTTTTAATATTAAGTCATTTTCAATTAGAACTCAGTGTTTATCCTTGAAGTATTCACCGATGGTTCTTCTCCTAGTTGTTATTACAAACTAATTGTATATTTACATTTTTACACGGAAACGTATTGAAAATACTTTTTAAGTTGTGTTATTTATTGAAATAAGAAGTAAACAGTTATTAATGTTTTGTATGCTTGTTCAAACAGTTATGTGATAGTCACACACCAGTGCGCTAAATTAAGAAGTATATCCAAAACAAAAACAACATCTTTTACATCGCCTTAGTTATATTATTTTAAGGGTTTAATTATCAAAATGCTGATAAATATTCGTTTAAATATTATTATTGAACGGTCTTTTTTTTTTTTTTTAATAATTTGAAACCAACATATTTTACAATTAAAAATATGTAGGATTCATTTTTGTACCTTGAATTGTTCTTATAAAAATCGTATTTAAGCCAATCCAATATTATGTGATTGACCAGCTAGGATATTTTTTTCACAGCTCTATATTTATTATACATAGATAGGGTTATTTAGTCGGTCAACATGAGAACTCCATTTAGGCTATATTACCTCTAACACACTAAAATATTTATATTATAATTGTTAAGATAAATTAGAATTTATATCTACTATAAATATGAACAATGAACCTGCCACCAGCATATGCATTGACGTTGAATAAAAGTAGAAAAATAAGGGGAGGATTCCAAAGTAGAAATAAATAGTTTGGAATTGGATAGACAAAAAAATAAACTTTACTTAACGTTAATTATTTATTTATTGGTAGACAAATTATAAATTTAATATTGACCCACTTTGTTAGCTAGTTTTTTTTCTTTTAAATTAAGTTACTGCTCTATTCGTCGCGGGTATCGAAATGATCATAAAAACAAGAATTATTGTTTTTGTAATATATTATCCCTTGCTGTAATTGGTCAAAGGGCACCTACAAATTTCCATGTCTGGTCAAAACAATTTTATTATTTAATTTTGTATATTTATTTCAAATCTGTTGAACGTATTTTTTTAATTTAATCACTATTATTACTTTTTTTAATAGTTACATGTTTACTATTCTACACGGAAACGAATTGAAACTCCGTTTTAAGTTGTGCTATTTATTTCAATAAGAAAAACATATTAGTGTGTTATATTATGTCCATTTGTTCAAATCGTTACCTGTTAAGTTGCACACCAATACATTAAATAATAAATGTATCTAAAAACATTAAAAACATCTGTAAAATCGACTTAATTGTATTATTTGAAGTCTCAACAGTCAAAACGTGTTTGATTGTTATAATATTGTGGAACGATTTATTTTTACTTGAGCAATATATATGTAACAAAAAAATTTTAACTCGATTCAATTTACAAAGTTTTTCGAAAAAAATATCTATGAATTTTAAAATAATATATTTTTAGGTACCAGTGTAGTATAAATCAAGCAACAGTATAAACTATACACAGTTCTAACCGACTGAAATGGCAGGGATCACTAACTATAAGTGATTTGACCTGAAACCTGAACTATATAATTTGTAATAAAGGGTCAACTTTAAAATGGACTGTATATAGAAAAGATTAAATAGAAAATAACATTTTAAGGAAAACAATAATAATACTTTTTAAGTGGGGTCCAGTGTCTAAAGATTCCCGTTGAAACGTCTTCTTGAATGTTAATTTATATTAACATAATAAATAATTCTATTACTCATCTTGTACAAAACTATTTCTGTACTTGCTTTAGACAGTGCTGGAATTATTTTTCCACTCAATGACATAAGTTAGTTAACGCAACCGTAAAAATGTTTCCATTATAATATAACGCTCTTCAATACACAAAACCGTTATCTAAAACGTGTAAATAAATCTGTTATTTTCAGTCAGTAAGAGGTGAAATTAACAAAAAACATAACATTTTAAAATTAGCCGAATAGTAAATATTTATTATGATTTAGTAAAAATATATAATTTTGGTTTTGAAAAAATGTGTAGACAATTTGACAATTTATTTAGTCTGATTTGAAAGAAACTGGATATAATTATGACACCTTTCGATCCTTTCTAAAATAAAAAAAAAACAAATTAAATAACTGAATTTATTCCCACGACGCCATTTTCAAAATAAAACTATTGTAAATGGTTTAAGCATGTTATAATTAGACTTTTTTAAAACTATATTTCCTTAAAAATAAAACGTTATTCAGTAGAAAGATCTAAGTTATTTTGGAAAATTTAACATGTTAAAGATTTGTATTAAACTTTTTTTGCTAAATCATATAATATTTAATAGAAATATACACCAGGCTCTTAATTTCTAAAGATATATGTGACGGATTTTGTGTTTATATCCGTTTTTGTACGTTCTCAAATTGTTTAGATTTCTTTATCAATAGGAATGTTTCAATGATTTTTTTTTTAAACTTGTATATTTTAAAAGTTAGGTTAGCTTACTCCGTCATTATCAACGATGATAACGATGATGCGAACTAAAATTTGATTATTTATTTATTAATTGTACCAACTTACAAAGTCTATTTTCAATATGTTTTAAAAGAGACCCACAAAATTTATGGCAGAAGCAGCAGCAGCAGCCAAAATAGAAACAAGATCCGATAGGACATACCACCATCTCAACTATGGTGTCTCTACATCCCTCTAAATAAAAAACACCAGACATTTACTTTATTATTATTCATATTGTTTAAACTATATAACAAAAGGTTACATATTATACTAACGTCCTTCTCTTTCCAATTCCGTCGAACCTAACAAAAAAAAAAAATATATATATATACAAATCAAATTAGGAAGCAGCATAGTAGATAAATATCTAACATAGTAAGAAGCTAAAATACTACAATAAATATAGTCAATAGTGGCAAAGTTCCTTTAAAAACAAGTCTAAGAAAACGCTTCGGTGTCAATCTATGGATAGTCGATACTGGACCCCATTTTGGTCATTTTTTACTGTGCTGGTTTACAATTTTTCACAATTTTGTTTGTTTTTACCCTCATCTCGACTTTGTTTTTTTGATAGCAACTTTTGAAACTTAAATGGTAACGTATATATTTTATTAACTTTTTAAATTGAGAATAATGTAATAAAAATTTTGACTGGTCGATAACCAGTTTCGGATAACTATTTTTGAAGTTTCAAGGTAATGGTAGGAGGAAAGGTGGAGTGTAGTATTATTTTTATCTGCTCGCATTTTCCAACCGCACTTTTTCTCCCATCCTAACTAAAACTCTTACAACTTTAAAAATAGTTATCCGAAACTAGTTATCGACCAGTCAACATTTTTAGTACATTATTCTTAATTTAAAAAGTTAATAAAATATATACGTTACCATTTAAGTTTCAAAAGTTGCTATCAAAAAAACTAAGCTTGGAGGGGGGTAAAAACAAAACTAAATGTGAAAAATTGAGATAACATTGAATAAAAACTATATGGGAAAAAAAACATATAAATTTCTTAATTAACCCTATGAGATATTGAGTGGTTCACGATAAGTGGATCACTCTGTATAATAAACAAATTTATATAAAACTATTGTAATTAAGCATTTAATTTTTTTAATGACGACTACCGCACGTGTGATTGCAAAATTGGATACAATTTAGCTAGCATTAGGCAACAAGCTTGTTATTTTTGTCAGCATTATTTAACAACATTTATGACATTTATTTTTTTAATCACTTTTTTTAAAACACATACCAGATATGCAAGGACCGCAGCAAAATTTCTTCAGGCAATCTTTACACGTCTCTAAATAAAAAAAAAAAAAACAGACATTTACTTTATTATTACTCATACTGTTTAAACTATATTAACAAAAGGTTACATATGCTACTAACGTCCTTCTCTTTCCACTTCCGTCGAACCTAACAAAAAAAAAAAATATATATATATAAATCAAATTAGGGGGCAGCATAGTAGATAAATATCTAACATAGTAAGAAGCTAAAATACTACAATAAGTATAGTCAATAGTGACAAAGTTCCTTTAAAAACAAGTCTAAGAAAACGCTTCGGTGTCAATCTATGGATAGTCGATACTGGACCCCATTTTGGTCATTTTTTACTATGCTGGTTTACAATTTTTCACAATTTTGTTTGTTTTTACCCTCATCTCGACTTTGTTTTTTTGATAGCAACTTTTGAAACTTAAATGGTAACGTATATATTTTATTAACT